AATGACACACCCAACATTATCAACTTATCAATGTGTGATTTCATTCCTAGAACGTGGGCACACACGGGTTTACCATTTTCATGTTTCATTTCCAATAGGGCTTTAGTGACATTGAACCTTTCAATTCTTCAATCTTGTGGGTTAGGTAGAACAACGGGAGGAGGAGTAGGAAGTGAAGCATGATCTCTTATTCCTAGATCGAATCGTGGAATATCATCTTCATGTGGAATGCTTGTTCCACGGGACTTGGGAAGACCATAGTTGTCAAACTTTGACATCTAAAAAACGGGAGAAAACAAATTCAAGTTAGTTGATTGATTGAGTCCTTAGTAAATCACCCAAATGAGATACTAAGGCTAGGACCCAACACAATACGCTACAACCTAGAAAAGGGATGCTGTAATCTAGTTGCAGAATATTTGAAGGTAAGTTAATGACGATTCACTAATTTTTCACCATGAAAAACAAAAAAAAAATTAATTTTAAATCTATGAAAACTCCTAAATCCTTTGAGATTCATTGAACAATTCAATGGCATGTTTAAATCTCGATATGCCCCTCTTGTTTGTGACTGGGATGCCGAGGATCACAAAGCGGGTGTGAATCACCATGCAAACTTACATGGTGCCCTCATATGTTACGGTCACCTATTCGATGTGCCGGTAAACCACACACGCTCCACCGAACTATGACAAACATTGAGTCACCCTTTGCTACCTTTGCTTAGAACCATTTAGTGTGCTGGTAAACCACACACGCTCCACTAACGTCTTCGCAAGGGCACAAAGTGTAATTTCATGGAATTACATTAATTCACTTTTGCCTAAGTAACTAAGATTGGGAATTTGTAAAACATTTAGTTAGTTTTATATTTCATTATACTGATAATGGAGGTTTCTATCCTATCCTACCCGTTCGGCTAACGACCCTCCACTAGTCAAGAATGCGGTGGGTAAGAGTGGATACCCATTCAATCGCCATTTTATAGGCAATTTCCTTAAACACCCTTATAAACATGCTTCCTGAATGAGGCCTACTAACGGTAAGACTGACTTTTACTCATACATATATATATATATATATATATATATATATATATATATATATATATATATATATATATATATATATATGTTAGACTTTTAATGTTATATATAGTATAGGGTGTATTTTACACTTTTAAAATACTAGGTGGTTGAATTTAACAATTATACTTTTAATTCAATTAAATTGTAAACCTAAACTTTTATGGATTTATTAAACCTCTTTTAATTATACGCCTTAATTAATTAATAAAACCATAAGGGTGTGATATGAACTTTTCAAAACAATACTAGGGTTTTAGAATTTAACATTCCTAGATTAAACTTTTAATCAACTTTTAAATTCCAAAACTTGATGACAAGTTTTGAAACATTTCAAAACATTAGGGTTTAGAATTTAAATATACATCAAAATTAAACTTTTAATCAAAATTTAAATTCCAAAACTTGAGGACAAGTTTTGAAACATTTCAAAACATTAGGGTTTAGAATTTAAATATACATCAAAATTAAACTTTTAATCAAAATTTAAATTCCAAAACTTGAGGGTAAGTTTTGAAACATTTTTCAAAATATTAGGGTTTCAACTATTTAAATTTCAAAACTAAACCTTTGAGTTCAAATTTAAACTATAAAACCTAAACGAGAAAATTGAAACTTTCATAACACAACGATCAAATAACAAATAATATAAATTAAACAATTAATTTCATCATTATCTATATTTGACCTAATTTCAATTTCTTGCAAAATAAGTTACTCAATTAATACAAATAATCCAATCTTTATCATATAAGGAAGTTATTATCTAATCAGTTGGTAATTATCTTGTGTTTTGGTAAGGATATTCTTTAAGAAACAATAAAATTCGTATTTTATAGGTTTAAAATGAATATGGTAATTATCCTTAAACAAAACAGCAACAAAATCCGAAATTTCCTCTGTCTGACGCTCCGACTCGTCGAGTCACACTCTGGAACTCGCCGAGTAGGGCTGACTCGCTGAGTCTAAGTAGTGACTCGCTGAGTCAGGTCAAATAGTAAGCCAAAATTCGATTTTCAGCTACATAATGCATCAATACAATATAAACCAATCAAGGCTATGATGCCAATGATGGGTTTTGATCATAAGAACATCCTATATGCTCATACAAACCCTAATGCTTGGATCTAGGTTTCTCTATTGTACATGCAATTTATCCAAGACTATAAACCCTAGATCTAGCATATGATAATCAATACAACATATAATTAGGGTTTAGATCATACCTTAGTTTTTATGTAGCAATAACAATCTCAAATCCTCCTTGTAATGACTTTAGAAAGCTTAGAGTCACAAATGTCACTCCTCTAATGGTTCACAAACACCAAGATCAAGAGGATGAAGAAGAGAAGAGAAAGAGGCTGCCCAAAATCATCCAAAACCCTAGAGAGTTTCATCACCATGTTTTTGGGGCCTAAGGGTGATATTTATACATGTAGGCTATTAGGGTTTAAACTAGGAAACCCTAATCTGACTGCTTAAGCCCTAAGCAACCCATGGACTCCTTTCTTAAAGGCCTTGGACGATTTCTAATGGGTTTCCCCTGTAGAATTTGTCCAGCCTTATACAATAAGGTTATCCATAGCCCAATTGCAATTATCTTATAATTACAATTCCAGTCCATTAAGTTTAATTAATCTCTTTTAGCCACAAACTTAATTCTTGTTAATTCTTGACTAATATTAATTAAACAATATGATTTCTCCTTTAATATATTATTCTCATAATATATTAATAAATCATAATTAATCCTTTCTCTCCATAATTCATCCTATCACGTTGCTTTGGTGAAGGCAACCCAAAAGGACCATGCACCATCAGGTCAAGTACATACCAAAATAGTTATGCACTTAGACACTAATCCAACAATGGGTTCATGTGAGTAGGCAACAAAAACTATCTATTCTAGTTCTATTATCAGCTATGGGGTTGAATATAAGAGAAATTGTAGAGGATCTTGTAAGATTCCCAAGAAATTCTTCGATTTCTTCTAGAAGCAGATGGTTAATCATCTGCTTCTCACGTTCCATGAATAGCTGGGACACTCTCTTTTCTTATAGAGAAAAAGAAATAGAAAAAGATTAGTAATTTACTATACATAACATAAAAATTAGAAGAATTTAGAAAGAGAGTTCTTTTTCTTAATCTCATGAACAAGATCTAAGAATCCATTTAGTTGATGGAAGAAGAGGGGGGATGCCAAAAAGATCTTCATTAGTTCGTAAACCGATTGTATACCACCACTGATAAACACCAGAATATGTGATATTCATTGGGCCAAGAGCACCCCCTCGAGTAAAAGCTTCTACAGCCGATTGACCAAAATGAGGATCCGAAATTGCATGAGCAATAAGTCTTACATGTAAAGGGTCATGTACCCGTGACTCAAAATTTCCTTACCAAGCTACATGAAAGAGATTTCCGGAAGTCCACAGAGAATTGATGTGTATTCGAATCATAGGAGCTAGCAATCGCCGATTTGCTCGTATTGGTGATGTTATTGCTGCTGTGATCAAAGACGCAGTTCAAACATTCCTTTAGAACGATCAGAAGTGCTCAGAGTTGTAATTGTCTATACTTGTAAAGAACTTAAACGTGACAATGGTATGATAATACGAAAGAGTATACAATAATGATGTATTTTCCGAATCAAATACCATAGTCTAATAATCAAGCATTCTGATTAGTTGGGAATTTTGTGAAAGGTTCTTGTAAAAAGTTTCATTGATGCCTAATTCATGTCGAGTAGACCTTGTAGTTGTGAGAATTCTTAATTCATGAGTAGTTTGTGATTTCTTTTTGAAAAAGAAGAATTGGCTTTCTTTGAATTTGAAGTAATCAGACCATCCCATTATGACACTCATGGAGAAAGAATCTTAATAAATGCAAAGAGGAAGCATCTGTTATCTAATGTTATTAGGCATCAACGGACATTTCCAGATATATTACTCAAAAGAACCAACACAATACACCTAATCGATTAGAGTTGCGAAAATTTTGTCCATATTGTTACAAACATACGATTCCCGGGGTGCTAAAGAAATAGATTGAACCGAGCACCTACGCCACATATCCTATTTTGACACCAAGAAATGAATTCTATAAATAGAAAAGAATGTTCAGAAATTCAACTGAAGTTTCAGTTTGTAATAAGAGTCTTATCTTTTTTTATCAGAGGTTGAACCGATCATCAGAAGAGGAATTAGACCACAAATTAGGATACATTCTGGGAATCTGACCATCTGTCAGAGAAAAAAGAACGAACAGATCTTGTAGGATTCCCAAGAAATTCTTCGATTTCTTCTGGAAGCAGATGATTAATCATCTGCTTATCACGTTCCGTGAATAACCGGGACATTGAGGTTGTTTAATAATTTTAAATAATTTTAGATTAGTATTTATTCTGAGTCTTTTCAGAATCGTTCAAATCAAATATTCAAAACAAGAAGTTACAATTGGTTAAATGAGATCACCAAGTTAGATATAAAAATGAATACTTATAACATGAAAATGAAAATCTAAATTATTAATATAAAAAACTGACTTAGTTTTAATATTATAAAAAAAATCCCAAAGCATAGTAAGACTAAGCAAGAGAATTTTGTTTCTAGGATCCACCTCAGGATAATGTATAAGTATTATGGAACAATGCAATTTGTAAACACTTTGTATTTTTTTTTGGTAATTATTAGTTGGGATAAATGTTATCACAATAGAACAATGGAATGTGTCCAATTTGGTATTTGGAACATTTATTTGTGTTTTTTGAAACTTTGATTGTATTGTTGTTGTTAGGTTTGTGTTTGAATATTTTACATATATGATAAAAAAAAATTAAATTTTATATTTGATAATAATTTTTTAAAATACAACGAATTTTCCTACAGAATACCTACAGAAAAGTCGTTGGTAAATATGGCAGCCAGAAATCCATCCGTAGTAAAGTCAAAGACAGTCAAAGTGGGTCCCGTCGGTAATCCGTAAGATATCTGTCGCTATTGTATTCCGTAGGTATTCTATAGGTAAGTTAGCACCATTAGTAATCCGTAGGTAATCTGTAGCAACTGTGTTCCATAGGTAAGTTAGCGTCGTTAGAAATCCATAGGAAATCCGTCACTATGACATTCCTACTAGGTTAATTACTGACAAAACAAATCATCGGTATTCCGTAGCTAATTAGTCTGTAAAATTTACCTACATGCATTTATGTTATGGCCCATTTTCCGTCACAATTCTGTAGGTAACACCGCCGTAGGTATTATCAGATTTTCTAGTAGTGTAATTCCTAGCTCTACCCCTATTAGTTGTTCTAAACTTTTTTTTAACAGATAGGTATTTATAGTAAACGAAAAGTTATATGTTAGAGTAAATTACACGAATCGTCCCTCGTGCAGGTACCAAAATGCACGTTCAATCTCTATTTTCAAAAATTACCTCGTACCATCCCCGTCTGATTAAAAGTTGCACACACTATTGCCATGAAATGACTATTTCGCCCTTAATAATTTTTTTTATCGTTTTCAATTAAAAAAAAATATATAAAATAAATATTTTTTTTCAATTTCTTTTATCCTTTTTATCATTTCCCCGGTTCCTTTCGTCCTTCCACCTTTGTCTCCCTCTTTAAAGGATACCTACAATCTCTGACCAGCCATCGGTCACCGTCTCCGACCACATATTACAGCCCCTAAAACGGCCTTTAGCTGGCTATGTTTGTGTGAGTCACGACATTTCAACGAAACCATATGGTATAACAGGTATTTTGATCAACAAAATTCATTTCTTTTCTAGGAAAATCTTGCTCGTTATCTACACAGGCACCACCAGTAAGAAAGCTCCTATTAGAAACAACCATACGAGAGTTCTATATAACCCTGTGGATCCAAAGAGTCGCCCTCTGATGAGTCCCCTGCAACTAGCTTCAGATCTGATAAGTAAGAAAAAAAATGAATCGCACTGATTCTTCTGTAGATCTTAAATAACAAATTAGCAATCAGTTTGATTTGATGAATCAACAGAAACATCAAGCACTCGTATTACTTACCGGCCACGAAACAAGGCGATATGGGTGAGATGCAGACATTTTCACGCACAATGTTTTGGTAGGCGAATTGGGACAAGTGGTGGGTGGGATCCCGATTGGTACATTACTTCCAGTCCGACGATTCTTGTGGCGGCATCGAAGATCTAAGATCTGAGACGAGGAAGTACACACGGGAGATCGAAGATGGAGTTAACAGATCGAAGAAAAAGGAGGAGGCAAGAGTGGAGGGCTGTGATCAGGCGACTCGTTGCCGGAGTATTGTTCAGGGATCGAGACCGAAGTTATTTCCGGTAGTGGTGGTTATAGCAGATTCCGATGACTTGATTTCTTCTTCCAAAGTCTGGCGGTGGTGATGTCCGTCAAAAATTTAGGGGAAATAGGGGTGGCCGGGTGGGTGGGATTTTTTATTTAATGATTTAAAAGGTGTTGGTGGCCCATAAATTTAATTAATTTTTTTAATAATTAAAAAAATAATAAAAAATATAAAAATAAATGAAAATTCAATTGAAAATGGTATTATAGTACAAAATTAAACTAAAAAGGGATAAACATGTAATTTTTAATCAAACCTCCGAGTTAATTTTTTAAAATGGGAATGGAACATATCTTTGGGTACATTCGTGTAATTTACTCTATATGTTATTATATCTTCTAATTTTAGCACTAATCCGCCTTTAATAAGGGTTTCATACTATGACTTACGTTAATGAATCGGTACTATCTTTCCTTAAGAAGAATATTTGGCTTTTAAATATCCTCCCGAAGTCAATAAGTTTCTTTTCCGTTTTTTTTTTTTTTTTGTTTTAAACGGCTCGTAACCATTTATAAGAAATGTAAAAAATCGCAAGACTTGACTTTATAGTTTAATTGAAAAAAATAATACTCTGTGACCTAAAGAACATGTATAGTGGGGATATTGGAGGATGAATATGACATGGTTTTCAGCATTTAGTGAGAAGGAAACTTGGCCTGAGTCAATTATAGCTTGGACTTCAGTTCTTGGAACCTCCTCGTATCTTTAATAACTATATTAGATATTTAATTCATGTGTTAATTTTCCTAGGCTCTTGTGCGTTAATTACTAGTGATGATTGCACCATGGATCTCTAGCCTTTTCTTTTCCTTCTTCTTCATCTTCTCATTCAACAGACGGCAGTTTGCTATTGCCAGCTCTTCTCTACCTCCAAGTGAAAGGGCTCCAGTTTATGGCATTCCTACTACTGCAAATCGTTCAACCTCATGGATTAATGATGAATCTTCCCTCTCTTCCATCTCTTTTCCAGATGGCTCGATGTACAGGGCTATTCTCCGAGATGAAACAAACAGTTCCATTTGTGGCTTCTTTTGCATTCAAGGAGCCTCCTGCACATCTTACCTCTTTGCTATTCTTCTCAATCGACATGATCCGGTGGTGATTTGGTCAGCCAACCGAGACTACCCGATTAGAAACGGAGCAATCCTGAATCTCACTGCAGCTAATGAATTGGTCTTATATGATGTGGATGGAAGCAAAGTTTGGGCTACAAACACTACTGGGAAATCAATTGCTGGCATGAAACTAAATGATAACGGAAATCTTGTGTTGTTTGATGGTGATAACTCGATGGTTTGGCAATCATTTGATCACCCTACAGACTGTTTGGTAGCTGGGCAAAAACTATTTCAAGGACAGAAGCTCATACCTAGTGTTTCATCAACCAACTGGGCAGCTCAAAAAGATTCATACTCTCTTCAAGTCACCAACAAAGGTTTGTTTGCTTATGTTGAATCAAACCCACCTTTAGTCTACTATCGTCACTTGGTAAATGGCACAGATACAGATAAACAAACCAGGTATGTCGAGTTCTTTAATGGGAATTTGTCTTTCTTCAATTTTTCAACCGAGCCAAGTCTACCTAAAAAATTCCCACTTCAGTATATGAAACTAATGCCAAATGGGCATTTAACAGTGTTTGAATACGATTCTTCAGTGGGGTCAGTAGGGTGGATGGCGGTGGCTGATCTACTAACCGGTGATCTAGGAGAGTGTTTTTATCCATTGGCTTGTGGGAGAAATGGCATTTGCTCGGGTAATCAAGAATGTAGTTGTCCAAGATCAAGCTTTCCGGGGATGGACTCTTTTAGGGCAGTTAATGATAGCGAACCCAACATGGGTTGCTCTCAAGTTACTCCTCTCACATGTAATGCTACTCAAAATCATACGTTTATTGAAATCAAGAACGTAAAGTACTTCACCTATACTGTCGACATAGAGAATGTGGATTTGGGGACTTGCACACAAGCGTGTCTGAACAACTGCTCATGCAAAGCAGCTCTATTTGAGTATGGTGATCCGAGTCATTCAAATGGGAATTGTTACTTACCTACTGAGCTTTTTACAATGACAAAGGTTAATGTAGAGAACGCTATTGTTTATATAAAAATCCAGAATGAAAGATCAAATACTTGGGCTAATCTGTCCCAACCTCAACCTCATGATTCAGTACCAAAAACAAAAAATCAAGTTAAGACAGTTGTGGGTTCCATAATTGGCAGTTTTGTGCTTCTTCTTATTGTGGTTATAGGTTTTACCAAGTTACGAGATAAAAAGAAAAAAACAAATACCCAAATGGAAGAAGAGTTTTTAGATCAAGTGCCAGGAATGCCCACTCGGTTTTCGTATGAAGAACTGAAAACTGCCACAGGGAAATTCAGTAAAAAGCTTGGTGAAGGAGGATTTGGATCAGTATTTGAAGGGACACTCAGAGATGGCTCCATGATTGCAGTAAAATGTCTCGAGAGTCTTGTCCACGTTAAGAAATCATTTTTGGCTGAGGTCGAGTCCATTGGCAGTATTCACCATGTGAATCTTGTTCAACTTAGAGGATTTTGTGCTTGGAGATCACAACGACTTCTGGTGTATGAATTCATGAGTAATGGATCATTAGACCAGTGGATTTACCATGGAGACCGAAAGCATGTACTCAAATGGGATAGTAGAAAAAAGATTATTCTTGACATTTCTAAAGGTTTAGCATATCTCCATGAAGAATGTAGGCAAAAAATCATCCACCTAGATATTAAACCTCAAAACATACTCCTGGATGAACATTTCAATGCCAAAGTATCTGATTTTGGGTTGGCTAAGTTAATGGACAGAGATCAAAGCCAAGTGAGAACTAGAATGAGAGGGACCCCCGGTTATCTTGCTCCAGAATGGTTGGGCTCAGTTATCACCGAAAAGGTGGATGTATATAGCTTTGGGATTGTTCTTTTGGAGATCTTATGTGGAAGGAAGAACTTCGATAAATCACTGCCAGAAGAAAATTGGCACTTACTGCGTGTTTTTGAGAGATGTTGGGAACATGGAACGTTGTTAAGCATAGTCGATAGGTACAGTGAAGATATGCAGATACATGGTACAGAAGTCGTGGAGATGATGAAAGTTGCTTCATGGTGTTTGCAGACTGATTTCAGGAAAAGACCTTCAATGTCAGTGGTGATTAAGGTGTTAACGGGAGTAATTAATGTTGAATCAAACTTGGATTACAAATTCTCATACACAAGCCAGCAGAAAACAACAGTTAAACATGGAAAAACCTCGTTACCATTGTTACCTTCTATTCTATCCGGGCCTAGGTGAGTTGCAATGGTTTTGTGTGGATAATTTCTATGTATCCTTTCTTAAATTCTTCAATAACAATAAAATTGCTAGTTATGAACGCATTTTGTTCCCCAATGATAAAATGGATATCCATCTCTCTTAAAGTTATAGATCTAAAAGCAATCTAACAAAATAGTCTCAACTGTAATTCCAGAAAACTAGTTTTTAACTAAACTATACATATTTTCACAACATCAATAACACACAGCTTAAGAAGAAGAACAACAGTACAACACAAAACCAGATTAACCCTAATAAACTAGCACAGCACAAGTTCTGAACTACAGAACAAGAACAAAGGAGAAGAACTAGAGGGTATAGCTGAGTTTGTGTGAGAATTCTCGATTTCTCGTCAATGAAATACAAATAAAAATAATAACTGCACGTTTTATTCTTCTGGGTCAACTATGGGTCGAATATGAATCAACCCATAAGACAATAGGATCAGCGCATCAATCTTTTTACTATCCAAGTATCCATTATATGAGCCACAGTCCAAAAGTTCTCCATACTTGACCCAACACCTTAGCCCACATAGCTCTCCAATCAAGTTCACATAAATACACAAAATAAAAAAAAGTTATATATATATATATATATATATATATATATATATATATATATATTGACACACACACTTAGCCCACCAGTTTAGCCCATTTAGCTCTCCAATCAAGTTCACATATATATATATATATATATATATATATATATATATATATATATATATATATATATATATATTCCGCTTTTATTGAGGATTCACAACATGGTGAGGACTGTAAAGACAATTCTCCACCACCCATTTTATTAATGATCCCTATCATTTTAATTTCTATTATGGTTAGTACTCATCCCTATAAAAAGACTTTTACATACTTTTCAATTTATTTTATACTTTTTTAAAATAAAATATTTAGAAATAAAATAACACCGCTACCCTGTCTTCGTCTTCTTCCCTACATCCTTCTTCCTCCAAAACTCCAAACGAATCAAACTAACATCTATAACAATCGTTAGTGTTAGTTTCGAATCCGATAGCTGAAGGAAAGAAGTAGTCATCGATGGAGAAGGAATCACCTGCCTCCTCACCATTGTTTTGCTACACAGATTCGATCAATCGCTACATAGGAAGAAAAAGTAGTCAGGATTGGCGGAAGGAACATCATTCACTTAGTTTAAGAATGGGTGGGAGGTTTTCGATACCATGGGAGTGAGTGATGAACTCAAATATCAATACCTTGAGATTCTAAGGTGTGTTCTTCCCTTTTTTTTTCTTAATATGATAGAATTTGGGGGTGATTGAATTAGTTTATTAGCTTATTGCTTACTAACTTATTTATGATGGGTATAAGCAATAAACAATAAGCAAGGGGGGAGATGCTTATTAAAATTAGTTTATTTAACTTATTTCTAACACAATAAACTGATTTTTAAGGATTTAATCAAAATACTTAAACTTAGCTTATTGTAGTGGAAAAGCAATAAGCAATCAGCACCCTCTTTTTTTCCTATCCAAACTCCCCCTTATATATTGTTGATCTCAATCAGATATCAATCGTGCGGGATGGTGATAAAACAAGAAAAGTTGTTGATCGGAAGTAGGCACAGGATATTGAGGTGAGAAAAGAGGAAGCCACATAAGAGCGGTCTTCTGATTTGGAGGAAGAATAGGATTGGCCACAACAAGGTGATGGTCAACGATTATGTGGTAAGGATGGTGGTGGGAAGGTGGCTGAAAAGAAGAATAAGGTTGGGGTCATGTGATGGAGGGTTTAAGTTCTTATGGAGATAACGATGAATAGTATTTTGGTATGGTGAAGATCTTGTTTTTGTTCATGGTGGAGGTTGTGGGTGATGGAGAAATAAGGGTGGTATATCCATCTTAATATGCTTTGTTCGTTAGTGTTTGATTGATTTCCCCCAAAATAAATTGCAATAACGTTGTCACAATAAACAATAGTGTCTTTCGTGAGAGGGATGTGAAGCTCTAGTAATAAATTTTGTAGTCAGAAACAACATTTACAACACCCTTGATATTCAGCCTTTGCATTCGGTGATCGTGCTAAAATATGTTGTCATATTGATGACCAAAAGATAAGATTGCCAGCAAAAAACACACAATCTCTAGACAACCACCCAATGTACATCCGTATAACATAGAAGATGTGATGACTTTGATTTCGTGAGACAAAGTACCATGCACATATTGAATGATAAGTTGGAGGGCATTCATGTGACATGTTGATGGATTATGCATGTGAAGGCAAATTTGTATAACTACATAAAAATCTATCAGAACGTGTTAAGGTATTGTAGTGCACCCGCACACGTGCGATAGTAAGTAGGACTTGGGTATGTGGATCAATTGGGTTGTGAGCTCAGCTTGACATTTCTATCAAATAGGGTATGTGATGGTTTACATGAAGACATTCCAACGTGTTCACTAATTTCTTTAGAAAAGTGTGTTTGATTAATAACAAATATTAATACCATGCTAAGGATAGCGTTTTTTAAGAAGAATATTTGACTTAACGATAATCAATTAAGACAAAAAGATAACTGATAATTAGTGATTATATGTGATCCAGTTGACGACTACAAGAAGTCTCTATCATCTCAAATATCATATTATAGTACATTAAAATACATATTCTAAGACTTGACCATATTCTTTTAGTAAGTTACAATTTTAGTTCACTAAAAATTTTAGATTTTGTTAAATTTTTATGTTTTAACGTTTTTCATCCTTTAAATTACTTTCTTTAACATTTTTCGTCCATGGAATGGATGCTGGTAGTTTTGTTCATTAATAGACAACATTACGGCATTACCATTTACTCTTCCCTTTATATTATCTGCTTAAAATACAAACATTTAGAAATACAATGACATTTTTCATTCTAATTTGGTTGCTAGTTATACTAATACCTCCTTAGGGAGGAGGGAGTCATTCCCTCCCAACCCACTAAACCCACTGCCACATCATTTTTTTTCTTTTATTTTTCTTCATTTTTCCAAACCCACAATACACGGAAACCCTATCTTTTTTAACACACTCAACCCACTCAATTAGAAAAATACAAAACAATCAAATGTAAAATATTAATTAGCAATAGAGTTATCGGCGGTACCACTCCCGCTTCAACGAGTGGGTTGATTGGTTTCACTAACTCACTTCATCATCTCTCTTTACTTTCTCTTTCTTATTTTCTCTTGTACCATGTGTTTTAAAACTTATACCTTAGTTGTTTTGTATATTTTTTTTAAATAAGTGGGTTGAGTGGGTTAAAAAAGATAGGATTTCCGTATGTTGTGGGTTGGGAAAGATGAAGAAAAAGAAGAAACAAAAATTGATGTGACAGTGGGTTCGGTGGGTTGGGAGGGAACGACTACCTCCTCCCCTAGAGGTCTAAAAGATTATCACATCACTATATTCGATAGAAAGTTATCGAAATATAAACTTATACATTCTATAAACCTATTCAAAAACTCTTAAATATTTATAAATAGGCCTGACAATGGAGCGGGTTTTGACCCTGATCCGATCAAAACCCTTAACAATTATACGAGTTTGGAGCATAGTTTTTGATCTGTTTACCCGTTAACGACCCGTACCCACTAACCCTTTTATTAGAAGGGTCGGGTATAGATCATCACCGACCCGCTCCATTTATAACCCGCCCCATATAAATTTTAGAATTATACATTTATATTTTATACTGCCAAAATTTTACTTTAAATTCCAATTGAAAGTCCAAAGAGAAAAGGCCAAAGACTAAACTATTTATACATAGGACTCGAGGACTTAACTTCTAGACTTTCAGTCTTCTCCCAAGATTCATGATGTCATTTCAATTATATTTAATCATGTAAACACCAATTAGATTTATAAATCAATAAATTCATTTATCAACTGGAAGAAAGTTTGTAATTGTTATTCTCTATCAATCCAATCAAGGGTCGAAAACCAATTGGAAGTAACTACAATAATTATTTTAATTCCAATCGAAAGTCTTCGAGTACATAATCTGTTTTCTAAATCAATATTTGTTTTATTTAACAAATGTGATTTTATGATTTAAGTAAAATATGTTTAATTATTCAAAAAACATATGGGTTACGAGGCGGGTTTGGATATCTGCTGATTCGATAGATAAGGGTATGAGTTTGATTATTCAAAACCCTGTGGGTTATGGAGCGGGTTTGGATCGGGTGTTGGAATTTGTTAAAAGGGTTTTGATCAAGGTCGATTCCCTCCAAACCCGCCCCCTTGGTTTAAAAAAGCGCAATGCACACTGATGCGATTAAGGTCCGGGAGGCCGATGCGCGATGCGAGATGCGGATGCGGATGCGCTGGCAACACGTAGGTGTGGCACACAAGTAGTAATTACCAATATATGTTTACAATATACTAAAAAGCAATAAATATATAAAACAAAAACCAAATATCAAAATGCAAAATGCATGTTTACCATAGTCAATGCAAGATGAAACCAAAATCTAATGGCCATGCAAAATGAAAACAAATCTAACAGTTATGCAAACAGCAAAATGAAACCAAAAAATAAAGACCCTAAGCCATCCCTCATCAATCATCATCAAAGTCAAACTGAAGCTCCATATCCATATCTCCATCCTCATCACCAGACATGCCAATATCTTCTTCTATCTCTTCATTGAACAACCCAAGTCCACTAGATCCAGCTATTCCTTTTCCTCTATCATCTCTTGATGCTCTAGTCGCATAAAATTTTTACCCCTGAGACTTTTTCCACAGCATCCCAAGTCAAATCTTCACCCTCAAAAACTAAATTATCATCTTTATCCTCCTCTAATCTCCCTAACAACCACTCATTGCTCTCATCTATTTCATTCAGAAGGATAGGATCAACATTGTCCTTTCTGTTGGTTCTACGATTCAAGGAGCGATTGAACTTCACATAAACCATATCACTTAGTATGCTCTGTGCCAATGTATTTCGTTTTTTTGTGTGAAGCTACAATGAAAGAGATAAAGCACATTAGATATTTCATTGTGCATGTGTAATTAAAAAAATAAACTAAATGTCACATAACATACATGTTGAAAGACTCCCTAGTTTCTTTCACAACTTGTTGCACTACATGTGAGGCTAAGCACACGTACAGCAAAGTTTTGCAAGTTAGGGGTTGAAGATCCATATGATATCCACCACTCAGCTGTAGGAAACAATGTTTGAAAAAAATGTTAATCTAACTTCATAATTATAAATCTATAATATTAATATAATATAATTAACATTTAATCTAACCTGGTGCTTTTGTCTTCCTTTGCCTGATTGCCATTTTATTACTAAATAAAGCTTCTGCATTTTGATATGTAGCTAATTCGGTGGTTATCTTGTCTTGGATACTAGAATCTGGAACCAATCTCTCAACGCAAGCATATAATCCAGTCATAACTTCTTCACAAGAAGCGTTAATTTTGTTATCATAAAATATTCCAGGATTTAAGTAATGTCCGGCTGCATGCAAGGGTCGGTGAAGTTGACATTCCTACCTTTGATCAATAATCTGAAAAGCTTTCTTGTACTCCTCTTTTTTGTTGAGAAACGATTTCTGAATAGCCTCCTTGGCTCGATCGATCGCCTCATAAATGTAACCCATAGCTGGCTTTTTTCCCCATCCACCATTCTAAGGACCTTAACAAGCGGTCCAGTCAACTTAAGAGAATAGAGAATATTTCTCCAAAACGAGTCTGATATAAAATAGCCTTTAATCTTGTTTGCTATTGGGTCATTAGCCTTAACCCACTTGCTTTTTTCCCACTCTTTTGACAAAACCATTTTTCTTAAATTGTTTTTTTGCTTATGAAATTGCGACAAAGTGATGAATGATGTTGCAAACCTATCAGATGTAACATTGGAATATTTGATAACATCATAACAGAATAATATATATAATTACACAAATTATAAGTTAAGTATTAAGAGTCACAAACCGGGTAATAGCAGGTCTATGCAAGTTTCTTTGCTTGGTAAAGTTCCTCATCATGTTTACAACAGGAACATGGTTATATATGTACCCATTTGCCAACATACATCTCTTCAAAGAACTTTTCACCTTAGGGATTTGCTTGCCAATGTCCTCTAACATAAGATCAATACAATGCGCCGCACATGGAGTCCAGTAGAGGTGTGGTCTTTTAGCTTCCAATAACTTTCCTAAAAAGATGAAAACAAAGCCATAAAATGTTATTTAATTCCATAAAATGTTAATATTTGATTAACATTAATTAAAACATAAAGTGAATAAAATAAAACAAAGTACAAAGTTAGAAAAAATACATTATTTACCTGCTTTAACATAAGCCGAGGCGTTATCTGTGATAACTTGTATAACATTTTCCTCTCCCACCTCCTCAACCATGTCATCAAGAATGCCAAACAACAGGTTTGCATCCTTTGAAACTTCGGATACATCCATGGATTTCATGAAGAAAGATCCACGTGGAGAATTCACCAAAAAGTTGATTATATCTTTTTGCACGACTGAATCACGCCACCCTTAAGACATGATCGAACAACCTTTTTGAGCCCACTCTATCTTGTGTTCTTCCTTTTTTTTTTGTAATGGTGGCTA